AAACTCTCCAGGCGGGTTGAGATAAGATAGCCTGTCAAGGCCAGTCAGGGAGCTGAATTCAGATAAACATGATTGTTTTAGGGACAAGCAGAACTTTAATGACATCTACTTTAAGTCTGTGTCGGTCCGCTCTCTTCCGAAACGTCCAAATTAAATGACCATACCAATGAAACATGCTTGAGAATAATCCCCTAGATCTGATTCATTCTGCCAAGAGTCTGGGTGCTCGAGGCACAAACCAAGCCATCATATAAGGCAGGCAGCCTGACCAGGTCCAGATTTGCTGCTGACGACTTCCTTGTTTGTTGATAGACCAGGAACCAATCGAATCCAAAAAGCAGGAACCAGTTTTCATAAATCCAATTATAAATGTGTCCTTAAAACCCACAGATGACAGCAGAGAGAGACACGTCATCAAGTCTTCAAAGTCAATGAGATATCCAGCGGTGTGCGTGCCAACAGGGCAAATCGGCTCGCCTAACGCCTGTCTTCTCTTCAAAGAAATGTTATCAATTGTGTTGAGGGACCAACTGATCAAATACAAATCCATAGTTATGATTCAGAAGATTTTTGTAGAAGAGAGGCTCTAAAGCAGATTCACAGACAGGACAGAGCAAAAGCAAAACAGAGAGGGAGAGGAGGAGACGTCCGCCCTTGAGAAGAGCAAGTACTGTTTATGCAAGGCTTTTCTTGAACAAGACCTCATCTGAATGGGATGTTGTTATAAAACTTGTATACATCGAAGGGGTCTTTACAGATGGGAAAGTTATACATGATATCCCAAAGTTTTCTGAGTTTAAATATTTGATATGTTTACTATATTATATTGTAAATTACTGGGTGAATATTTTACCACTTATAGACACAGTCTTACACAAACTAGTGAACCTTTGCCTCTTTTTACTTCTAAGAGATATAACTCTTTAAAATGTTCTTTTATTACCCAGTTTATTTGCTTACTTGTTGCCAACTAACCCAATCAGTTGAAAAATGTTCCTCCAGCTGCTTTATATCTGTGCTTTTAAGACATTTTGTTACCCTGTTCTAAGTTTATGACTTGTGTTGCTATATGCTCGTGTAGCTTCTGGAGCATGGAGTCTGATACCCAGTCAGTTTCATTCTGAATCACACTTTCATGTAAGTGCCCAAAACATCTCTCCGTGAACCAGGAGGCTGGATGGGATTCATTTAGTTTTTTCTTTTTGCACTTTTGCTGCTGCCACCAAATTAATAATAACAACAATAACGCTACAGTTTTTTTAGCTTACACATTTGATGTGTTTACTAAGAAACATTGGAAATAAAATATGGGTTTATGAGATTTGCAACCATTGTAATATATTTTTAGTTGCATTTTACAAAATGTCCCCAACTTTTTTGATTGGGGTTGAAACATTTTGCTGCTAAAATTCTTCAAAGTAAGTGTTAGCATATGTCGACGAGCACTGACCTTTTACCAGGAGCCTGCCAACCACCTCAGCGTTGCCGTAACCATTCCATACTTCACACACGTATGTCCCCGAGTCACTGGGCTGGGCTCTCTCTATAAGCAGACCAGTCACACTCTGTCTGAAGCGTGTGTCCGGCTCCAGCGGCCGGTTGTCCTTTAGCCAGCGGTATTTGGGTGCAGGGTGGCCAGAGGCCTTGCAGGGCAGCTCCACTCGATGAGATGCCATCACCTCACGACGCTCAAAGCTGTCCAGGATGTGTGGTGTTGAGTTGGTTGGGTCTAAAGGAGCAACATTATAGGCTATCGTAAGACAACAGAAGTTTTTGTACTTTAAAATGTAATATTAGAAAAGATGTTGTTGTCACAACTCCGCTGGTAATGTTCCAGGTTCAGATGGTTCACCAGTAGACTCTTATAAACTTTGTTTTAATAATGTCATTGAACTTATAACTTGTGTCAGCCAAAGAAACCGTCCATCATTAAACAGGGGTGGAGCCTCCAGGTTCAAC